ATGTTCTTATATTATGATATGATATTAAGATATATTATGTTATATTCCACTCTATTATAATCACCTTCTTTACTAGACTCTTAGCTTCTTTGAGAAAGGATCTGTTTTCTATTCAATTTTGTATTATTCATATTTGGAAAAGTGGGAGGAGATAGTAAAATCTCAAGAAAAGGTGTAGATAAATGTAAAAGGAGTGATTAAAAGACTGGAAGCATAAGGAGCAAAGTGTACCCTCTGAGTCTGTTCTCATGAGTGCTGATTAAGAATTCAGAGAGTGCAGGGAAGGAATCTTAGGAGAGTATTACAACAGAGGCTGTAGTGGGGACTGCGGGGCTGGGGCAGGTTTGTGCACAGGTGGGCAGTGGCCATACTCCACCATGGTGTGATACCAGAACAGAGAGACAAGGCTGTCTGGTTGGTGTGGGCCAACTTCCTAGTGAGAGGAAACAGCCCCTTCTCCTCTCGAGAGACGCTGTAGCCTTCAGGTATGTCTCCTCTCTGAACATCTTTTTTGACTGTTGAGTAATAAGTCAGTCTCAGACCTTGCCCTTGGTCCTGTCGGTACCAGTACATGGCATTGTTTTTCAAATTCTGTTTACACTGCAGAGTCACATCCCATCCAGCCCCAGTGAGCAGGAATGCTGGCATCTGGTAGATTTCAGCATCTATGGATCCTGTAGGATAAGGATACAAAGGCAGAGGATAAGGCCCAGAAGGGAGCCCCACGCTGTTGTAAGCTAGAGGTGCTGGAGTAGGGGTCTGCACACCCAGGATAGGAATTTACCACCTGGGTTTTGGACTCACCTGTTCCCAGGAGACAAATGGCAATGTAGCAGAGGGCCTAGTTGCGCATGGCAGGGACAAGATCTTTGTGAAGCTCCAGAAACAGACTCTGTGAGAGGTCAAGGGAAGGGGCTGGGATCCAGGGCTCCCCTTGGCTCAATATGCAGATTTTGTTGTTGCTGTAAGATGACTGACTGTCACAGCTAATTTTGTAGATGGGGAGACTAAGGCTCAGAGAGATCAAGTACCTCGCATCTTCTTTTCTGCCAACAGAGCTCTTTATATCCCTTCTAAATGGACAAGAGCCCACATGGTGAGAAGACCAGGTCCCCCACTTCCTGGTCAGAGTCTCACCCCGAATGCCATGTGCCTGTGCACCAGCTGTGATGAGAACTAGGAAAGGAAATATTCACAATTTTCAGAGTCTATGGCCTGTCCACCAACCTCTCTGTTTCCCACCAATACTGTAAAGTGGGGAAACATAAACACAAGAAGAGGTTCATATGTTTTGTTGTTATAAAATAGAGCTAATTCTCTCCATCCTCTGTGTTTATTGCTACAGTGGTAACTGACACAGTAGAGATGGATTAGAGGTTTCTCCAGTAATTTCAATAACAAAGGGCCATAATCTTGCTGTCCCCTGGTGACGATCGATCAGAGCAGAGATTTGAGAGACAGCCTGGACTTGAGTCCTGGCTCGGCCTTTTCGCAGCTATGTAACCTTGGGCAAGTCTCTTAACCTCTCTTTCGTTTGATTTTCTCATCTGTAAAATGGGCATAATGAGTATCTCCTTCAAAAGTTGTTGTGAACATATATAAATAGAGAATTTAGAATAATTTTTAACACAAAATAAGCACCATAATCCTGTTCACTATTATTATTTTCTGAACTTGATATCCTAATCCACAGGATTCAGGAAGTTAATGTTATGTTAAGGAAAATCAGACATTTACTGACATAGGATTGTACCAGCTAACTAAAATATCGTTTTCCAGCACTGAGTTGAAATTTATACGAGTGTAAATTTATTGCGTTACATAGTTTCTTCTCAATAGTCTTAGATAAATGAAAATGTGATCATAAATTAATTATTTATTAATGAATGCTGTTATTTTGTCAGATAAATGTTTGTCTTATTTTTATGTCTGAGGTCATCTCTAATAAAAGACACTTTCATGATGGAACTTTTGGTTGGAGTCTGGTGACTTAAAACCTGTTGCTGTCCCCTCCTGGAAGAAAGGCATGTGTGTGTGTGTGTGTGTGTGTGTGAGAGAGAGAGAGAGAGAGAGAGAGGGAGAGAAAGAGAGAGAGAAATGGAAAGACAGTGGGAGAGGGAGAGAGAGAAGGGGAAAGGAAATGATGTAATGATTCAGAATGAGAATCATTAGAAAGTACAGCAGTGTGGGTAGAACTCTGAGAATAATCCTGCTGACAGGTTGCTTCCAGTGATTGGGTTTAGGCTTCAGGTTTTCAACCACATCTGCAAAGTTGAGCATCTCATTCTTCATACGGGGTGGGTCTTACCCTTGTTGGTACCATGGGCCCCTTTGGCAATCTGGTAAATCCTAAAGACCCCTTCTCAGAACAATGTTTTGAACCCATAAAATAGAATACATAGTATAACAAAGGAAATCAATTATTTTCAAATGTAGTTATGAAAACATTTTTTAAAAATATGATATATTAATATGTGTACTTCTTTAAAATCCATTAAATAAAATATATCCTGGCAAGTCTGAAAACCGCCATGATTTCAAAGTAGTCATGAAGATAAATGATATTTGCTCTATGTAATATGGTGTGAAAATACCTGTGACTTTGATATTAACTGTAATATATGCAAATATCTGTGATTTCTATCGTTGTTTTTCACAGGTGCTGCTAACATTGCTGTGGTTTATTCACTGTATCTATCATGAATTAAATGCTATATCTTAGTTAGAGTTTAGTGAAAATAAAGATACATCTTTCCCATTCAAATTCATGGATTCTCTGAATTCTATCTATGCACCCCTTGGAGGACTGTGGGCCCCAGGTTAAAATTTTCTGCTTTAGAAGAGAATATGCTTCATGCTGGAATCTATGAACAGGAAGCATTAGGAAGTTCATAAATCTTCAAAAATAGTTTATCACCATGTGCAATCTCAGATTTGTCAAAGGTGTCCTGATTAAAAAAAAAAAAAAGGAAAAATTTAACCTACTTATTTAGACTGATTTACAGACCCAAATCATGACAATGACAGATATTTACTATGATACTTCTAGTCCTGGGCACATGACACTATTTCTGTAATCTGTCTTTCTGTATACCATCCTCACTATCAGCTACCTTCATCATCATCATTGTCATCATCATCACCCTCGTCATCCTCGTTATCACGATGTATACGTGATTCTTGGGGGCATTATTGGAATAGAAAATGGCAGGGACACAGTACGATAGAGACATACTTTCTTGTATGAAGGAATGAGGCTTTATGCTAAGGAACACTATTATCAGAAATAACATCCCCAAAATGGAAGACCAAAAAGATCTACACATATTGTACTTTAAAATAATCCCTTACAAGAGTATGTGTTACTAATTCTGAGACACTTCAGATCTCAATGAATGGTAATATATACACAATTCTCACTGACAGAACTTTAGACAAATCTATTGGATTCAAAATCCCTGTTGCATTCATTGTGACGTAGTGTCATGTTTCAGAGGTAGCTCAAAGGAGTAAATAATGAAAAAGGTTATATTGTTTACACCTTTTCCTATTTTGCAAAAGATTCCACAGTCTGCTCTCATTCCATGTGTCTAATGCAGTAATTCTTCATCTGGAATGCTTACATATTTTCAAAAGAAACACTTAAAGGATAAACCAAGAAAATAATAACAATGGTTACCTAGAAGGATAAATAAGAAATTGGGTAAAGGGAACAAATAGAAAACGAGAGCAAGATGAGAAATGTTTGCCCAATATATTGCCAATTATATTAAAAGTAAGCAGATTGCCAATCAAAATAAAGAGATTGCCGATCTGGCTACTGAAAGCTAAGGAACATTGAATTGATTTGGTAGGAGAACGAGGAGAAAGATGACTGTGTTATAGGACGTTAGACCTGATGAAAGGCCCACAGGAAGAAGAAGAAGAGACTCACAGACTTGACCAGCAGAGCTGCAAAACTCAAATTCTTCCCTCCACATTATGTGCTTAACTGTAAAATACTCCCTTTAATTATTCCTAACTCTGGTTTATTTTCATAAGCAAAAAGTACCTCTTCTTAAAGTGCATATTGCAGAAGTTGCACAACATTGTCGATATGTTTGAATTAGTATATTTTACCTTAAAGCAGAGCAGTGCGAACACTTGGTTGGTTCACTTGGGAAATGAGGCTGACATGAGCTCACGTATGGTTTCTAGTGAACACTAACTTCTGGAGAAGGTATTTTTATGCGACATACTGAGGTTGAGACACCAGTTGAGAAATGTAAAGACTAAATTAAAATGGGCTAATGTGAAATCTTGGCAGCAAATATTTTAATAAGTAAATTCCTTATGAGTTTTAAAAAGTACATTCATAATACGTTTCTTAAAATAAATTCAGGAAACACTTAGGAGAAATACAACAAAATACGTGCAAGACCTGATCAATAAAAAACAACAAAGCAATGCTGAGAGAAATTAACAAAGAACTCAATAAAGGAGCATGGGGGCGCTTTTTGGGGAGAGGGAAGTCTTCTGTATCTTGATTGTCATACTAGTTACATGGATGTAAAAATGTGTCAAAATGTATTGAAATATACACTTAAAATGAGTGCATTTTATTGTGTGTATGTTATGCCTCAATAAAATTGCTTTTCAAAGTTACATGATGGTAGTGTTCCGGAGGGAGGGGGTTGCTGAGTTCCCACGGCAGGGACAGGGTGAGAAGCAGTCCTGAAGCCCTTGAGGAGTTTCTGTGTCTGGTTCAATGAACTGTGCTCCACCGGATGATCAGGGTTCACGTGAAAGACAGCCCACCTCCCGATTATCTTGCTTCCTGAAGGCACAGGTTGGCCAGGTGGAAGGCACAGAATTACATATTCTTATAAATTGTTAGAAATCCATCAAGATCATGAAAAAAGAAAAGATATCCTGGGTCTTCCCTTTCCCAGATATCCTGCAAACTGGAGAATCTGAGCCCCCTTTACACCTTCCTTCCCCTTCCTTGGGTTTCTTTTTTAACATTCCTTTCTGCTCACCTAGAGTTGCCATGTACACATGTTTCCTTCTGGTTTATGCTCTTTCAAGTTGGGTTTCTGTTAGTTCCTATGCACCTAACACACCACTTATTTCCTGAGACGAGTGAGGGATGAGTTCGTGTTCTAAGAAAAGCTCACATTCAGCACTGTGGATTGGCTGCTGGCACAGAAATACAGTGCTGAGTCCTCTAGCTCAGTGGAGTTGATTTGCAGGCTGCAGGCTGAGTTTTGGGGGCATTGAGCTAAGAATTGCTGATCGAGTACTTTTGATTTATCAATAATATTTTTATTCTGTAAGTAAACCAAAAACTCAAACTCTCCTTCCAGCTTCTGACGATACCAATAAACATGAGTATGTGTTTTTATGGGGACACAATCCATCTTTGCTTTCTGTTCTTTTCCTTTGACCAGATGTCCAGGACTCTGGGTGACCTCGGTGTCCATGGAGCCTGTGGAGGAAAGAAACAGAAAGTGGAGAAAAATCCCGCGATGGAGCTTGGTATTGCAGCCACAGGAGAAAGTCCTGACACTTTCAGAAGTGCTCACAACTGGAGCTTACCTGCTCCCCAGAGAAAAAGGGCCACACAGCAGAGAAGTCTGAGGCGCATGGCTGGCCCAGGGACAAGCAACGGCAGGCGACCTTTTCTCTAAGGCTTCCTCATCCCCCATCAGCAACCTCCTCATGATGTGGTCACTTCCCATGGTCTTCACAGTTGCCATGTACCTGGGACTAAAACATTACACAAGATGTGGGAGGGCAGGCAGAGCTGGTAAAAACAACCAATGTGAATTGCCAACTGCTTTTATTTCCTTTTCCCTGACTGTGCTCTTTCATTATTTTTTTTTGATAAAATCACCTACATATCATTTATTTATTTGCTTTTTAAACCTGTTAATTTGCCGCCTCCCCTCCTCCCTTCCATCTCAGGCAATACATCATACAGCTTGGTGTATATCAATCAGGTTTCACCACACGTATAAAATCTCACAGCAGCGACTTTAGACTAAAAAATTAAATGTCGAACTACACAAAACAATATTTATGACAAATATGCAATGCATCCAGGGAAACAATAAAGTTCATATTCTTGTCTGAACCAATCAGCTTAGGAGAGAGATTATTGCTGAGAATTTTTAAGCCCCTGTTATTCTTCCAGATTTCATTGTTCCCTCTCCACCACCTCCAGGTAACTGTAACCCTGAAGCTTATATTTTTACTCACTAGTTTTTCATTATAGTTTTTAGCACTTATGTAAGAACCCGTGAATTATATATTATTTAATGTCATATGTCTTTAGAATTTATCCAAGGGGGGATCATTCTGTTCATATTTTTTTCCGTGATGTGTTCTTTTTCTATTCAACATTGTTTGTGATATTAATTCCTGTTGATGCATAGAATTTTAGATAATTCATTTTCACAAATATGTAGGATTCCATTCTATTCATTTGCTAGAATTTCTTATCCATTCTTGAATTAATGTACACTGGTTTTTGTTCTAGATTTTTACGCCACTGCAAATAGGACTGCATTCTTGTACGTTTCTCTGCATGCCTAGCTGCAAGATTTCCTCTATTCCTGGGAAGTTAAAGGTTGAGACTTAGGGTCACCATGTCAACTTTACATAATAGGTCAAATGCTTTCCAAATTAACTAAGCCAAATATATAGTCTCATCAACAGTACATGAGTGTTTTCAAATGTTCCACATCTAAGACTCAATTGGTATTTGATATCCTTTTATTTTTTTTTTTTTTAATTTTTTGTTTATTGCAGTAACATTGGTTTATAACATTGTAAAACTTTCAGGTGTACATCATTGTACTTCCATTTCTGCATGGACTACATCATGTTCACCACCAAATACTAATTACAACCCATCACCACACACATGTACCGAATTATCCCTTTCACCCTCCTCCCTCCCCCCTTCCCCTCTGGTAACCACCAATCCAATCTCTGTCCCTATGTGTTTGTTTATTGTTGTTATTATCTACTACTTAATGAAGGAAATCATACGGTATTTGACCTTCTCCCTCAGACTTATTTCACTTTGCATTATACCCTCAATGTCCATCCATTTTGTCACAAATGGCTGGATTTCGTCATTTCTTATGGCTGAGTAGTATTCCATTGTGTATATATACCACAGCTTCTTTATCCATTCGTCCCTTGATGGGCACTTAGGTTGCTTCCAAGTCTTGGCTATTGTGAATAACGCTGCAATGAACACAGGGGTGCATGTACCTTTGCAAATTGGTGTTTTCAAGTTCTTTGGATAAATACCCAACAGTGGAATAGCTGGATCATATGGTAGTTCTATCCTTGATTTTTTGAGGAATCTCCATACTGTTTTCCATAGCGGCTGCACCAGTTTGCACTCCCACCAGCAGTGTATGAGAGTTCCCTTCTCTCCACATCCAGGAATCCTGAGAAGAAAGAACAAAGCTGGAGGTATCACATTCCCTGATTTCAAAATATACTACAAAGCTATAGTAACCAAAACAGCATGGTACTGGCACAAAAACAGACACACAGATCAATGGAATAGAATCAGAAGCCCAGAAATAAACCCACACATCTATGGACAGCTAATCTTTGACAAAGGAGCCAAGAACATACAATGGGGAAAAGAAAGTCTCTTCAACAAATGGTGTTGGGAAAACTGGATAGCCATATGCAAAAAAATGAAAGTAGATCCTTACCTTACACCATACACAAAAATTAACTCCAAATGGATTAAAGACTTGAATGTAAGACCTGAAACTATGAAACTTCTAGAAGAAAACATAGGCAGTACGCTCTTCGACATCGGTCTTAGCAACATCTTTTCAAACACCACATCTGACCGGGCAAGAGAAACAATAGAAAAAATAAACAAATGGGACTACATCAAACTAAAAAGCTTCTGATATCCTTTTAATTGTGTACGTCTATTAGGTTAAAATTGTATTTCACTGCAGTTTTAGTTTTTTTTTTGTGATTTCTAAGGAGGTTGAACGTATTTCTTATATTTATAGGCCACTCGTGTTTTCTATAAACCCCTATGCCCGTATTTCTTTTGGATGATTAGCTATTATTCATTTGTAACAGTGCTTTACATATTCCACATACCAAAGCTTTGTCAGTTACATATGTTGCTAACATCTTTCCAATTTGTGGCTTGTGTTTTCACCCTCTTTGTAATGTTTTTTGTTGAATATGTTAATTTAGTAGTTTATCATTCGTTTTTGGGGTGGATATGCATTTTTTAATTCTTTATAAGAAATGCTCCCTTGGGGCCTGCCCCGTGGTGTAGCAGTTAAGTACGCGCACTCTGCTGCTGGTGACCCGGGTTCGGATCCCGGGCGCAAACTGATGCACCGCATGTCAGGCCATGCTGTGGTGGCGTCCCAATAAGTGGAGGAAGACAGGCACAGATGTTAGCTCAGGGCCAGTCTTCCTCCGCAAAAAGAGGAGGATTGGCATGGATGGTAGCTCAGGGCTGATCTTCCTCACAAAAAAAAAAAAAAAGAAAGAAAAGAAATGCTCCCTTAGCCCAATTTCACAAAGATATACTCTCATATTATTTACCCAGAGAATTAACATTTTGAATGTTGCATTTAAGCATTGAATCTATTTAGAAATTCTTTTTGTTTATGCTGTGAGGAAGGGTTTAAATGAATCTTTCTTTGTATGGATAACCACTTTTCCCAGAATAGCTTACTTGATATTACATCATTCCCCTCCACACCTGTAATGATGGCTTTATCTGTATTAAGTGCCTACATATGCTTGGGCCTACTGTTAATCTATTATTTTCCATTTGTATGCTTTTTTCATTATTCTAAATTATAAAATAATTTGATGATTCGTAGGGCAAGTCGACTCACTCCAAACTTCTTCAATATTATCTTGCCTAATTTTATCCCTCATTTGCACTTAAATTGCAGATTATTTTAGTCAAATTTCATGAAAAAAAATCTTTTGTGATTTTGTTTAGTGCTGCATTGAATTTATAGACGATATTTGCAGAAATTAGAATACTCTTACCATTGAATTTAGTTATTCATTATCATGGTATATATCTCCACTTATTTTGGACTTTTAAAATGTCTTCCTCTAAAATTTTAATAAGTTTCTCTCTTACAGTCTTGTTTATCTTCTAATAGATTTGTTTTTAGGTGTTTTATATTTTGTGTAACTATTTGTACATGGTCTCTCCTTAAACATATTTTTTTAACTGTTGCTACTGTGTATAAACAAAACTAACTTCTTATAATTACGTTGAATTCTGCAAACTGACTAAATTTGTTGTTAATAATGCAAAGCTTCTTTATATTCCTTTGGGACTTTCTCTAAACTTGTTATCTGTCAATAATCACTTTTTTCCCTTCCTGTCTCATTCTCACCCTTTTTTTCTTGTTCCACTGGCTGGAAATTCAGTACAATGTTGAATAGAAATGGTGGTGACGTCTATTTGCTTATTTATCAATTCTGTATGATCCCACAACCACAGGCACCAGATATGTGTTAAATGCTATGGGCGTTACCAAGTCTAGATTAGATCCTGCTATTTCAAGGACCTATTGGCATCCCAGGGTATCTGCAATTCATTCTCCCAACCAGTACCTAATGTAGCTCACCTGAGGGACCTGAAGGATCTAACAACTTCTCAGATGAAGGAGGAACTGAGCCTGCTGGTTTATGCTCTGAGGTATTTTGCAGAAAGACCCACATCGCCCCCTAGTGGCCAAAGGGGCAAATTCGTCAGATGCCCTCTGATCTCTCACTGACTTCACCTTCCAGGTGAATGGGGAGGTGAGTGGGGAGTTGCCAGCTCCAAGCTGTGAAGCAGCATCTAGGCACCTCAAGTATCAGAGAGGAATTAGGAATAAGCAGTCCTTGGTGTGGTAACCTGCGCCTGCTGCGTAGAATCATCAGGAGTAATTAGTTGCATAGTCACTCAGTCATTAATCTAATATTGATGGATGGCTTATCAATGTAATTTGCCTTCTCAATCTTTTCTAGCCACCGTTCAAGGTGAGCGTTGTCCCTAAATCCCTGTACTGAGTCCTCTGCCCTTTTCTTTGTATGTTCTATCCTCAAGGGATCATCAGCACTTTTATTTTCCAATTATGCTCAATGTCCTGAATTTTTACCTCTCATCCAGATCCATTTTCTGAGTCCACTGCCTTCTGCATACTTCCAGTCAGACTTCTGCCTCAAGGGTGCCCCCGATCTCAAATAAATCATGATCTTCCCACTTGGCCCTCCTCATCCATCGGGCTGTGGTAGTCATCTTCAATCCTCCCTATCTATTGCCTCTCATGTCTAATCAGTTTCCAAGTCCTTTGATTTTACTTCCTAAACATCTTTTAAATCTCTCATTTCCCTATATTTGTATCACCACCATCATCGTCCTGGCTACGCTGTTGCCTGTCTGCATGACTGCATTGACTCTTTTATCTGCATCAGCTCTGTACACACTGCCCATGATTTTTTCACACTGTAGCCAGGGCAATTAAAAAAAACACACACAGGCACACACACATGCGCACACACACACACATACACAACGATAACAAACACTAATCTGATTACTGAAGAAGTCAAATGCCTTAACTCAATGTCAGGGCAAGGAGTATATGAGAGCGCTCTGTACTTTCCACTTAATTTTGCTGTGAACCTAAAACTGCTCTAAAAAAATAAAGTCTATTAAAAAAACTAACTCAA